TCACTCAGTACCAATTCAGCAAACATTTCTACAGCCTACAAATAAATATCAAAAATATATTTAATTATTCAAATTTAAAGAAATCCAATACCTTTGGAAAAAATTCCATTCAAGCTGACATTTGAAACCACAAGATCTATTCTGGACCATAGTTGTTACTTACATGTTCTTTCCTAGGTCCAGCAATGCCATACTCCAAGTTTACTTGTACCAATGGGATGTCTGGGTACAAAGAGTCAAGGAATATACAAGGCCCAGTAAGAACAGGAACAGTCTCATGGACAATGTACTAAAAAAAGCAAAACTATTCATTGAAATTTCATATTATAGATGCTAAAAATTTACTTTAATAAATTTTCAATATTCTTACTTTAGCATCTCTGGTATCAAGATGAGATACATCTGAGGGAATTGTTGTTAGTAACCAATCAAATTTCTCCAAGGCTTTCGTGTTGACAGCTTTGAGGAGTGGAGGAAGACCCCATCGAGCAGGCTCTTCATGTGTTCTTGCAACATGATCTCCAACATTATATGCAGAACAATCTGATAAGAATAAATGAGGACATTAGAGAAAATGTGTTATTTGTTTGAAGAGAATGACATGTGGTCTAAAATGGAAAACCATTCAGCCCAAGGCAATCATGCTATACCTAGTTTTTGTAAAATGGTGTCTTCTTCCTCAAAAAACAGATGAAACCTGTAGGGAAAATATACAAGAAAAAAAGAATAAACCTAAACGATTACCACAAGGGAAATAAAAACGAAGTGATTAAAAGTAAAGAGAATAAAAAAAAAGCAATTGCTTGCTAATTCCTACAAAATTACCACAAAAATAGTGTGCAAAAAACTTGGACATTCTGATCTCTTAACTTTCAAGTCGCTAAAATGGTCAAGCTCCAACCTATCTTTCCGACTCTGATTTCCCTATATAGACCTTAACTGGATTAAACCTACTACCAAAGAAAACTGTCTATTGCATAAATTCCTATGGTGGTCAATGTTTCACTGTATCTGCACTAGTTGAACTCTCTTTCTCTTAAAGCCTTTTATTATTTTTGTTCAAGTCTGCCTTTTCATGTTGTTAGCATAATAATTATTCAACATAAAATGAACCAATAAAATCATATGATCACATCAATAATTATAATTTGTATAATTTATTTTTCAAAATGCATTTTTTTTCTATTTTAGGGTTTTTTATTTATTGGTGTTATTTGTACTTCTACTCACCTCTCAGCCTGCCGTCTTGCATACCACACTAGAGTAGGGTAAGGATTATAAGGCAGCTCCTCCTGACCAGCTATWAGCAACAACCATGAATTTATGACTTGTAAAAGTTCTTTATCTTCGAGGTACTTGTTTAATATGGCCCATTCTCGATTTGGATCATTGACATTGTTGGTGTCTTCGTCAGGGAAATTAAAGGTTCCTGTGGATCTAGAAATATAAAATGGCAGTTGTGTGTGTCTATATATAGTTGAAGATATAGAAATATAGGTAAGTTGTAGTGCTTGGGAACGAGGTTATTCCGGGCGAAAGCCCTTGGAATTAAATTCCGAAAAATTAATTTCTGACCTCGCTGGGATTCGAACCCACAACGTTCGGAATTGTACTACCAATGCTCTTCCAGCTGAGCTAGAGATCAGACTGAGAGCAGGCCGGGGTGAAATAGATGTTTGGTCGCAGTAATTATGATGCAAAAATGAGAGTATGTGGACCACATGGCACTAATGAAATAGTTGGAGATATAGAAATATAGGTAAGTTGTAGTGCTTGGGAACCAGGTTATTTCGGGTGAAAGCCCTTGGAATTGTGCCTATATAAAGTCTATTCAAAAAAATATTGCATAGTCATTACCCCTGACTCAAGCATACATGACTTATTCCAGAGGGAACTTGGGTAATAATCAATAAATTCACATACATCCATTAATAAATAAAAATAAATAGATAAAAAAAAAACAAGAAAAAGTCCCTCAGTAAAATATATAAGTATATTGTAGCAGCATCTATTACATTAGCAATAAGACATGCCATACCGTGGGCATTCAACTTATCGTTTTATTTATTATCCAATCTCAGAGAGAGATTTGTGCATTTGTATGTGAACTCAAAGGGCATGACCACTAATTTATTTAAAATTATTTTGTTCTCTTTGCGACAAAAACTTAAATAAATGGTTTAGAATTTGCCTAGATGATGCCTTATTTGGTTCCTTTGCTGGCTAACACTGGACACTTTTTTAAAAAGTATTCTTAATAATTGATGTAAACACCAGTACTTGGAGGGAAAGCTAGGATTTAACGGCATGGTAAAAACATTCGTTGGGTGGCCATGGTACAGCGCATCTCATGCAAAAAGAAAAATTCGAGATTTATCTTAAAAGCTCCAAACTGCTCTCCATTCTTATATGAAGAGGAAGTTCATTGCACAACTTTGGTGCAACAACACAGTAAGCAGTCTCAGCCTTTGCTACCTACATCGTAGTTGAAGATGACTGTGGCTGTAAATTTGCTTGAGAGCCAGTTTGACCAGACTGAAAACAAAAAAGGTTAATATATTATTTGAAGGGGAAGATAGAGGAGCATGAGTAAATCATGAGAAAAATGAAGAATAAGCTCATATATTAAATAAAGTTCTGGAAAAAATATAGCTAAAGAAGTCGATATGTGAAACTTGCAGATCCAATAGTCTTTTTTCAACAATTTCAATTGATATACTTCCTTTCTTATGCCCTACCTGAAGGAGACTTCTGCTTGAACTCGGAGATAAAGAACTGTTCTCGAAGTTAGGAGGAACTACAGGCATAACATAACTTGTGAAGTTCACATTCTCTTGCTAGTTGTCATAGTTACAGCATATGATTTCAGCCAGCCTAAAACCCTTGAATTTGGCACTTATTCTTACCAAAATATAGAAAAAAATACAGAAGAATATATTCCAGCTCAAAAATTACTTTCTTAAATATTCATTACTAGCATTTCGAAAGTAATTTCAAGTTTTTTCTTCCACATTTGATTTTCTAGCCCAATATGTCCAATTTTTGTCAGGCGTTACTCGATACTGGATAGTATCCAGGCTTTTTCAGATGGGACAAGGAACGCATTATACTAATATTTTTCCCGCGTTAAAATCTTTAAAATTTGTCTTGACGTAACAGGGACATGTTTGGGCTTGTTTGATTGTCTTCACTTCCGTTTAATTGGGATACTTTCACTTTCATTTCGTTTATTTTTTCTCATTTTCTGCCGATGTAGGGGGTTTTCTTTTTCATTTAAAGGTAGAAAGGAACGAAAGTGAATTTAACGATGGAGTGTTCGACCTCGGTCGCGGTGGGTTCTGAAAGGATGGCTAGTACTATCATCATCATCAATGCCACAGAAATTGGAGGTGCTATCGGACGCAATAGATTCAAAACGAAAGACGAAACAATGAACAAGATTTGGGAGCGAACTGATGAGCAGACATTTTGTATAGCGAATGCGTTAGAGTATGAAGATGAGGTGATAGAAATCATAGATCGACACTGGAAGAATGCTGGTGATGAAGAGCGGAAAGACTTCTCCAAGTTCTTATTCTTAGACTGGGATAAACAAGAAGACACATTGGTGAAAATACTGACAGAGATCTTTCCTGGACCAGAAGTCTCGCCCAAATCTTCCTTCGTACCACTTAAAAATGAAATCTATGAATTGATAAAGATGAATACCGACCCAGACTTCCGGTCTGAAGTATTGTTGCGCGAAGCGGAAGTAAACAGAAGTGACATCGACCAAAAAGTGCAAAAATTGACCGCCAACGAAAAAAAGCCCGTCCTCGAGTGCGTAAAAGAGATTTCTGAAAAGAAAAATATTAAAAAGGAAGAAACTTTAAAGGCTCTTCAATCAAAACTGAATAAAAAGCGCGGTGAAGCACTCCAAGAGAGGGCAATCCAGCATTTTGAAATTAAGAATAAAACGAAAGTGAAACAAAAAAAAAGGATGTTTCAAAAGGATGTGGAATACGAAGGAGTAAAGTGGAAAATCCAAGGAAAAATTGATGGGGATTTTGTTAAAGAAAACAAGGTTATTGAAGTGAAAAATAGAACCGGGACGCGATATCATTGTGATGATCATGAGCGAATTCAGCTTCAAACGTACATGTTTCTTTGTGAGAAGCAACAGGGGTTATTTTTGGAAAGGCTAAATGGAAGACAAAAAGAAACGTTATTCAAATTTCACGAACAGGACTGGAAAGAGAATGTGATTCCACCGTTGAAGGAGTTTGTCGCTAAACTTATTGGTAAGATTGAAACTTATAGAGAATTAGTGGAGGACAACATGAAATACTACGTCAACTTTGCGACAACGACAACAACAACGACAGCAATAGCAGCCGAACCACCTTGCAAGCGCCCCAGTGACAGCTCTACGAATTCTGATGTAAAAGAAAAAAATTCTCGGATTGAGGATGAAGAGCAGGATTCTGAGACTTTAGAATTTCTATCACAATAGTTTAGTGTCATAAAAACGCAAGGAGTTTACATTTTATCTGAAATCTTTTAGCCTTATTTAGAGACAAATTACTAGAAAAATAGGCAAAAAAACTTTCTTGAGGTTTTCTCGGTCTTCATCTCCACATATTCTAACAGTCTTGGGTCCACCGACATGTCTTGAACTGGTAAAAATTATAGGAAAAATGGGAAGAAAATTTATCGAGTGGCATTCATAGTACCGAGGCCTTTTACTGATCTAGGGATGAAACGAGGAACGCCTTGCTGAAAAGTGTATTTCCCGCCTTTTGAAATACAAGACCAAACTTGCCCAGGCTCTAAATACGCTTCTAATTTTTGCAAGTTACTCAATACTTTACTCACTTTTGATTTATATCTTTTTGAGTCTATCATCTTCGTCTTTTTCTTGAGGAAAATCTTGGTGAAAGCAAATTTGTAGACTTTGGTGAAATCTACACGAAAGCCATTTTGCTGTCAAGGCTGTCGTTTCGAAAAGATGGCGGGAAAGAGTACATGTCCGATGGTCATAATAAATGCTAGTGAGGTTGCTAGTGTGATTGGTGAGCATCCGTACAAATCAAGAGAAGAAATTATGCAGAAAGTTTGGGAGCGAACAGATCAGAGGACATTCTGCATAGTTAACGCCACACAAAATAAAACTGAAGTTGCAAGAATCGTGACTTCAAGACTTCAAGAAGCAGACGAGGAAATCAAAGAACAGTTTTCAAGCCTACTGGTTGGAGACTGGGATAAACAGGACGACACATTCATTAGAGTCCTCAAAGAAATCTTTCCAGAAGATGGATATCCAAAGCCCTCTTTATGGCCTTTGCGGTGGAAGATCTTGAAAGCAATTAAAAACGAAAAAAGTCAAGATTTCCATGAAAAAATCTTGTTGAAAGAGGCACGAGTAGAACAGCTTTTGATCGAGGAGGTTAAAAAGTTATCTAAAGATGAAAATAAGCCAATTTCTAAGTCAGTGGAGGAGATCTGCGAGAAGAAAAACATTAAGAATGAAGAAGTAAAGAAAGCCCTCGATTCAGCTCTCACGAAGGAAAGAGGTACCAAACTTGAGACCAAGACGGTTGAGGTTTTTGGCCAAGAAAAAGATATAAAATTTAAGCCCGTACCTCAAGAAACTGTATCAAAAGTGATGGAACATGAAAGTGTGAGGTGGGCACTCCAAGGCAGGGCTGATGCTCTTCTCAAAGATAAAGTTATCGAAGTAAAAAACCGGAAAAACCGGTTTATGCAACCATTATATGACCTCATCCAGTTGCAGGCATATCTCTACCTCTACGAAATGCCAGAGGGAATTCTTCTGGAGAGGTTTCGCAAAGAGCACAATGAGACATCAGTGAAATTTGAAGATAATTATTGGAATAATGAAGTGGTCCCAGCTCTAAAAGACTTTGTTTTTGTGCTCCAAGATTATGTTGAGAAGAATATGTCACTCCTGAAAGAGAATAAATGTGATGTCAATATTGGTGGACCCAGATCTCCTTCCAAGAGACCTTGCGGCACCCTTGAAAGTCCAGCGATACAGGAGAAGATGGCAAGAAATGATGAGGAAGAAGTTGACTCAGACTCACTTTTTGCAAACATAGAACTAGATTGCTTGGACAATTTCGTAGTTGAAAAAGGATTAGAAATTAAGCATTGAGTCTTTGAAACAGTGGCAAATATTGAGGAATTCCCATAGGGGGTCACTCCTGTCCTCAACAAATCATTTCTTACTCCCCTAACCCAAATACATGCAAGTGACAAGTAACTCTGCCAGTGAAATGAGGAATCCCAGGCGCTCTAAGTGCCCTCTAATATACCCCTGCTGTTATTGCTAAATACTTGATTTTACAGTTCCGTTCAGTGACCACAAATAATAATTCCAAGCCAAGGCTGGAGTTGCCACATATGAAAACATGTAGTATTGCTATGCAGGGAAATACCAACCTCAACATGAAACTACTATTCAGGGTCACTGAACGGAACTGTAAAATGGAGTATTGAGGCCCTTTTACACTTTGAAACTTTTAGGTGAAACTGGTGTGCAATGGCATTGCGAGACAAGGTGTTACATGCCACAATTTCATCCTGAATCTCATTCGCAACACAAGTTTTGGTTGCCAAGTAGAAAGCAGTTATCCTTTTTGAGAAACTTTCTCGAGATGAAAGTTTCACAAAGCTGGGGTGTTACACGGTGCAATTGCTTCTGATACTAACTTGTCTTGCAATGCTGTTGTACACTAGTTTCACCTAAAACACATAACAGGGCCTTTACTCAAATTACTTCCTTTTATTCAGCCCAGGTCTCCTTTATTTTTGCCTGGATTTGACCTACAAATTTGTTTTTTACAGGACATTGTTTGATTGAATGTCATTTCCATTGCACTGTTTGAAATTTTAGGGATTGAAGTCCACAGAACAGAAAAAAATTAATTCTCATTAGTATTTAATAGTTTTTATCATAAGTATGTAAGTGATAGATTCGTTTTTAGTCATCAAAATGCATGCATTACAATATAAAGAACTCATAATATAATTAGGAATGTTTTATTATATTTACATTAGAAATATTCAGTGGTATAAACAATTTTCGCTATAAGCTATTAAGTGTAGAAATCAAAAATATTCTAGATATTACAACAATGAATCAAAGTGTGAATTGAAAAACTGTGGGCATCTAGAAAATATTCCAGGAATGTTCTATTGTTTTTTGGCAAATCAAAGTTGACTTACAAACCACAAGATAATGGAAAGATAACAATATAACGCTTCTGATTTGTTAAGAAACATCCTTGAAATATTTCTAGGTGCCCACAGTTTTTGGAACCAATAGATATGAAAAAAAAAACTCTTGAAAAACATTTCATAAATAAACTATAAATATTTCAGAATCAATTCATATTATCAGTATAATTGTTTTTTGTATTTAAATGCCCAAGTCACAATAGAGTTTGTAAAGATGCATACCTTGTAAAATCTGTTTGATCTATTCAGCATAAATATTGATTACCCCTCAATGCCAGCAACAAAAAAGCTATCACATGTACCTAAAACACAAACTAGGGACAGAACTTGTGTGCATTGCCATCGTGAAAAACACACTTCTGACCAATCCTTAGTCCATTCCTGGATTCTCTTTCGATCTGCTCCAACAGGCTGAGGGAGTCTGGGACTGGACTAATGAATCATCCGAAAAACAAACCAAAGCAATTTTTATAAAAAGCAGTACCTGAAATGCATCAATAAAAATTTGGGTCATTTTACCTTTGCTTTGTTACAAATTTAAGCTATTTGCAAGGAAATGCAACTGGGACAGACTTTTTATGTAGCAAAACCCAAAAATGAGACAATCTCCAGAGTAGGAAATGATTTATTCACAGAGGCACTATTAATGATACTATTCCAGTTGAGCGACAGGGCCTTGTAATTGTGACACAAGAGCCACTTATAAATTAGCAATGAACTACAAATAATTGTTCTAATGAATTATGACAGCAAGGTAATGTTAGGGGTTGCTTAATTGTTTAATTAATGATAATTTATCCAATTCATTTACTAGAGTAGATAAAAGAAATACTTCATATCTAAACTAAGCTGGTCAAATGTTTTTTATGATAAACCTACTGCAGAATCATTGAGACAATTTAGTAATACATTTTCAAAACATACAAAAAAATATTGAAGTATATTAGAATATAAAGGACCATCCTTTTTTACTGGGGAGGAAAGGAGGAGTGGGATTTGTGGGGGCATCATTAAAGATGGGGACACAAAGAATCCAGCCGGTTGCACAGCACTTTTCCAATAAAAAGAAAACAATGTAAAAGTGAAGAGAGGGTTTAGAGGGATTATTGTGGAATATGAATCCCACAGTCCTCCCTCCCTGATAAAAAATGAAAGGTCCTTAATCAAAACTCTTGTAGATCAACTCAAAGTTTGTATTGTTATCATATGATTATCCATAAAATRCCWWTATTTMTCCTTTTYGMAAAACTGATATTTTCACATGTGAAAATATAGTTACCTTGTGTATTTAAGCTATTAGTTTATAAATAAAAACTGTTTATAATAATAAAAGACTTGTTAGGTTGATTTTATGGATGGATATATAATAAACAGAATATTACATGGGCGCTTGGAGGTACAAAATTTATCTTCTTGTGTTGAATATCTCTCACTCATTCGCTGCACTCACTTGTGTGAGATCTTTTCAACACTTGAAGATAAATTTCGTATCTCCGTGCGCCCACGTAAAATCCTCTATTTATGCACGCCTTTACCATTGCCACAGACAACTATTAATATTGAATACATCACACATATCAAGGCTAAGAATGTGCAAAAGAGAACTTGAAATTGGAGCTGGATTTGTGATTTAATTTAGCAAATGATTTGATTCATTGTTAGTATCTCTGGTTTTTAAGTATTCCATCAACTTGACTGGATAATCTGTCATCACCCCTGCTACTTTGAGCCTATCAAATGCAAGTTCAAATTCTTCATCTTCATTCAAGACCCATAGATACGTCTAAAAAGGAAAATATTGTTTGAAAATTTTAGTGACRAAACAGCTGTTTTGGATTACATTCCCATGAGGTAATTTATTTTWAAAAATGTTACAGTCAAACCCACTCCTGCATTCCTTTCGATTCTCAAACATTCAATTTTTTTTTCAAAATTTTATTTCCATATTGCTTAAAGAAACTTGCATATTTAAAAACAACCATATTAAATTTAAATAATTATTTTACCTGGATTCCTCTTTTCTCGAGGTGTTTGAAAAGTGACGGTCTTATCAACAACCTTAAAATTATAATGAACATCAATAAAAAATTGAAAAAATTCATATTTTGACAATAAGAAATGAGATGTTAAAAAATTAACGAAGAAAAGTTTTTCTGTCATACCAGTCAGCGAGATAGCATATCAACCTCAAAGATCCTGGAATCTCAAAACGTCTGACAAGAAAACAGAGCAAAGGTTTAGATATTCAAGAAAGAATGAAGAAAAATAGTGCAGTTAATTATTGAATTTTCAAACCAACCTTAACATAACTTTTGGCAGCATAATTTCAAGAAAGGATTCCTTGAGAGGTACAAATGGCAGCAAACCAGTATAAAATAATAAGAGAAGAATTCCACAGCGGTGGAATGAGAAAAGAAGAGGGATATTCGGGTTCTGCAGAGAGAAGAAAACATGCATTGTTGAAACCTTTTTAATAGGCCATTTGCATTATTGTTCAGCTCTATTGTTCAGTTAATTTTGCTATGACTTGTATAAGGGAAAATTTATTAAATATGCTTGGGGGAGGGGGGGGGGGAGAG